TCATTAAGAAAATCAAAACTTTTAATATAGAAAGAAAATTTCAATTTTTACTATGTTTTATTAATAAATTTGAACACATGATTCCATAATTACGTTAGCCACTGTAATAAAAATTTTAATATATATTTTTTCTGAATTTTTTAAATTTTTTTCTGATAAAGTTGTTTTAATTGTAAAGTTATTGCAAAAATTTTTTATAATTAAAATATAAAATTAATTATAAAAATTTTTGCAATTAAAATAACTGTCAAAAAAATTTAAAAATCCAGAAAAATATATATTAAAATCTTTGTTTTGATATAAAAATAAAAAATTTTTATTAATAAATTGAAAATTTTTATATAAGAAAAAATTTTAATTTTTATTATATTTTATTAATAAAATCATATATATAATTTTATAATTCTGTTAATTACTGTATATATATTATAAAAATAAATATTATTTTATACAAAATATTTTTTATTTCATTATAATATTTTTTATTTTTTTATAATATTTTTTATTTTTTTATAATATTTTTTATTTTTTTATAAGCTTATAAAAGTTTATTAATTAAATTAGCAAAATTAATAAAAATTATACTTGCAAAAAAATTTATTATTATTTTTGAAAAAACAAATTAAATAATTATAAAAAAGATATAATTATAAAACAAATTTTTTTATTATATTTATATATAAATAAAAAATAAAATAGTTAAAAAAGATATAACTTATAAATAAATATAATTATAAAGGAATTCAACTATATAATAATTATAATTTTGCAGTTAAAATAAGAAACTATAAATAAATTAAAATAATTTTGCAATTAAAATGAAAAATTATTAACTAAAAAATAGAGTTTTTATGAGAAATATGAAATGGAAAAATTTATTTTTGAATATGAATAACAAGTATATTTATAAATAATAATAAATAATAATGATAATGTATTAATAAAATTAATAAATAAATCAAATTCTAATCAAATTCTAATCAAATTTTGATATTTGAATCAAAATTTAAATAAATATTTTGAACTGATTTTTGAACTGATATCTTATTCAATAAAATATAAGCAATTTATAACAATATAAGGAGTGTTTTAGCTCTAAGTTCTGAATTTATTATGAAAACCATTTTCATTTTTACTTTTAGCCAATAGTAAATTCATTTCAAGTGTTTACTAAAATTCCGGGTAGCACAAACCAATAAGAATGCGCAAATTTTAGGAAACGCGTGCTTAAATCTAGTTTGATTAATAATAGCATTGTATATCGATATTTTAGCTTTATTAAATTTAGCTCTCGTGATCCTAACCAGTTAACTGACGGTTAACCGATTAACGTTAAGAGTTAACCACCATAGCTCTCTCGATTTATTACTAACAAATAAATATTCTACACCCAAAAGAGAGATAATTGTTCATAAAGCTGCTCGTAAATCGTCTAACGCGTTCTTTAATGTTTTCCTAAAAGCAGTGCTATCAGTCTCTGTGGCTTTTTTATAACTGCTCACGCTGAACTTCATGTTTCCTTTTCCAATAGCATAATTGACCCCGTAACCTTCAGGAACGACTGCACCAAATCCTCCATAGAAATTATCGCCCGGACTCATGTTCGACGTGGATAATTTAAAGTACATGGATTTTAAGTAGGATGGATCGGTGAAAATGTGTGCTTGTGCACGTTCTTCGTCTGATTGTATTTGTGTACGTAAGCCGAGAAGATGACGGTCTACTCCTTTACCTATTAAAGTTGAATAATATTATTGGATATAATAAATGCTATACATGAACCTGGGCCGTTTGCGACTTACCGGTACTAGCCGAAATCATATATTCTAAATGGTTTTTGATTGCTTTTTGAAATAATTCGAGCTTTTGTGGTTTCTATTAAATTTTTACATAGTTATTTGTGTGTTATATATAATAATTAGTCTCTCTTATATATTATAATAATATTATTACACATACTGGAATGTCTTTGTCGTCAAAAGCTTTGACAAATGCCACACTTTCAAGAGAACATGATCGAACAGTTTCAGTACGACCATGCAAAAATGCTCTTGTTGATGCAGACTCGTAAGTTGCTGTCGGCTGACCATAATGTCGTTGATATGTTAGTTGTAGTGCCATCTGTACGAAAGCATCAGGACTAAGCTTGACTATGACAAATATTTTAAATTACAAATGATGGAAAGGCAGACAAATGATTTATGCTCAATTTCGGTAATGGAAATAATCAATACAATACCACTTTTCAGCCAATCAGATCCATATTCGTAATAATGTAATAAAACACTGTCTACGTTATCGATTGCTGCTTGTATTTTAGGCTTTGCAAGTTCAATCGTTTCGTCTATGGAAGAATCCGTTACCCATTTAAGGAGTTGCGGTGGCAATAGACTAATAGAGCTTGATGCATTGTCTGGATCTTGAACGGGTTCTTTTGAGACAACATCATCAAAAATACGACCTGGTATTACAGCATCCGCTGGAGAATGCTAGAATACGCGTTCAATAGAAATTATAATAGCAGAATTCATGCTATAATACGCGTTCATTAGGAAATTATAACAACAGAATTATTAAAATGAAAATGTACAACATACCTCACCATTTACACCTGCTCGTCCATTACTTTGCACGATCAACTGTAATGATTTATCAAACCATCGATTTCTTCCATTGAACGCGTGAAATAGATTATGATGCGATATGTCAATATTGGTGTCAGTTGAATAATCGTCTAGTGCAACAGCAAATAACGATGAATCGATTGCTTCCAAAGTTGATTTATTTTCTGGTGAAAGCGATTCGAGTTTCTTACGCGCCTAAATTATTTTTTTTTTAATTTTTTAATGTTGCAATTTTGCACTACGAATCGAAAAAACAAAACAATAAACTATACCGTTGCCCATATATCTCGATGTTCGCCAGTCAATAACCCAACCGATCGTTGGAAATCAGTCGAATTGGTGTTATCAACTTGTTCAACTACTGCCCTCAATTGTCTGTGAAATATTCGGAAATCCTTAGACAATTAACACATATACGCATGAAAATTATAAATCAAATTCACGAATCAAAATGCAAAAGGTTCACAATTTTATTCTTACTTTTCAATCTCTTTTATTGGCACTCGAGCATTTCCCTCCCCTAAAACTTGCACTTTGAAGATTTGATCCCTAAATAGTACAATAATGTGCTTAGCGGTCGTGGGCCAACTTGTAATAATTCTATCCGCTGGGGAATCGGCAATACGCGTAGTACCAAATTGGTTTTTATATTGGCTCATACAAAGTGGGCCTTGTCGAGTCGATTCCGGGGGAAATGTCTCGCTTTTTATTGCGTTACATAGTATTCAAACATGCAAGTTAATGCATAAAGTTAATTCTAACGCGTCATTTCCAAACTGTGTTATTATACATACTTATTAATGGATTCATTGAAGTTCAATAAATTCGAAATAAAGCCAGCAGCCCTGTTAGTCTGAAAATCCGTAATTTGCCCTTTTTGTGGGTTTTCCTTTAGAATACCGGTCACAGGATCACGGAATTCACACCACCAATTGACGTTTATGAGTGACGGTTCACGCCATTCCAAGTAAGCTTTGTTTAGCCAAATTTTTTCAAGCCAATTGTACTTAAATTTATTTGATAAATCATAAAGTATTGATTAAGAAAAAAAATTCGAATTTATATTCAGATGAATCAATTACCTTTTCACTTTTATCAATCTCATAAAGTCTTTCCTGTAACACTTCTCCCAGACCGCCTGGCCTTATGAAATCATCAATGGCGACCGAAGCACGATCATACTCTTCAGAAGTAAGAATAGGTGCTAGACTTTTTCTATAACGAGTTGTAGTCTCTTGGAGTGTAGGGATTGGTAAACGTGGGATAATATTTTGATTTGAAAAGGTTTTTAGTTTGTCTAATACGGAAGCGTCAATGGCATAATAACGGATGAGAGAAGAGGTTGCTATACTGAAAAAAAAGGCAATTACACATCAAAAGCTTAATTAAACTGATGAAACGCTAATTTAGTTCCATTCCTTCACCATAATATACTAACCGAGTTCTTGAAGCTTCTTTAAATACTCGCCGCGGAAAAGGTAAAGAAACTAAAATACGAGAACTTGGAAATGCCATTATTTTCGAACAAGTTTGAGTAGATAATTTAACCAGATACGGTAAAGATCTATTTCTAATATTTTTCCATTACACACTGACAATCTTCAATTTTGACTTGAAACAAAAAGAAATGCTTGGTAGAATCACTGACAGAATTTTATCTCCTTGGTTCGGTCGCAATTGGCACACTCCAATCGCAAAACACATGTGGCCCTTCATGGTTAGTGCGTCTGTAGTCTATGCTACAATATGGAAAATAGAAAGTACCGCACAAAACAGTTAAGCTCATTTACAAAAAATTATCGAGAAAATTGCTTGAATAAATTATATGTTGGGATGGAGATAATGATTTTTGTATTTTCTAGAGCCGCCATACGATACTGATCCAAGGAATCCAAGAGGTATGTTCTTAATTTCTTATTATCATAAGACTTTCTTAGATATTGCTTTTTCGAAAACACATACTCAGAAATCTAATTTTTTTTTGTTCCTAGCCACCTTTAATATCAAGCATAAGGAAGGACACCATTGAGTTCTCTGAGTAAACTCGAAAGTCTTAACAGCAATATTATTAATATCGAAAAAAGAAACACGGCATTCCATAATAAAATAATATCATTATTTAAAGTATTTTTCGATCTTAATTAGTTAATATATTGTATTTATTATTTTCTGATTAGTAGTAGAATAATGATCATTTTGCGGTAATTTTTTTTATCAACAATTTGCGCAAATGAATTTTAAGAAGGGTAATGATACTTATGAGAATTATATTTATAAATTTAATACTAATGAATATTATATCCATAATGAATAATAATTAAAATAAGATGTATATAATACTCTCGTTCCTCTCGGATTTGAAATCGATTTTAGGAGCCAGTTTAAGCTTGAATCCGATTTCAATATTAATCAACGAGTGTTTTCCGCTGCGGTTGGATAAAATACATTCGTCCCCCTTATAGTCACACCCCTCGGGACTCGGTGATGGTAGAGGGTTTTTATTTAATGGTCACGTTGAGCGGCCCAGGAACAGCGAGACTTGGGGGCGGAATTAAAATAATTTACAGCAACATTAACTTAACAAATAAACAAAAAGACATGTCAAGTTATTTTATTATTTCGTAGAAATTTTTTATCAAGCTTTTTTATGGTTGATATTATAGTTGGACGCTTAAACCGATTATTGTCACTGGTTTCGACTATAGAGCTGTATAATCCTAAATTATAACCTAAACCGTGTGCCAATTAGCATCGCATGGTTTTGGCGACCATCTTTAGTTGATATTAAGGTAAAAAAAAAGCCTTGATATTTCTTCCTTACAAGTTTATTCATTAGCTTGTCGAATTTATCTAATTTTCCTAACGGTTGTTTTTTTTTTGTAGATTCAAATTTGGATTTGTCTACCTTTTGGTTCTCAAGACATCCGTCTATATAATAAAAAAAACTGAGTATCTACAGGGGGTATAAAAAGTATTGTAAAACATCTTAAAAAATAACTAATAAACTTTAATTTTTTTTGGTTTATTAAAATATTTCATTTGATCCCTATTCGCTGCAAGAACAACTTGAACCCGACATAGCATGAACTTAATCAAATTACAATAATAATATCAAATTACAATAATAATATCAAATTACAATAATAATATCAAATTACAATAATAATATCAAATTACAATAATAATTTATGGCTACTACATCCCATTTCTCCTTTACCTACGTCATCTACTTGATATCCTCAAGCAATTTTTGGATAGATAGTGTCATGTACTTGGGATCGAAGTTTTGACGAACATAGGCCCTCCGACATTAACGACGTTAAGATTAATTTTATTTTATTTCTGGATATGTCGAATCTGTAGGCTGGGTAGCTTCAAGCACACCTATGTCGTTGAGATATGTTTGTACATATCAACTGAGAAGTCACTCATACTGAAGTTATGATGAGGCTGCTGCTCTACTTGCTTCTTGACTGGAATCCGTAAAAGATTCATCCATTAAAGTTAGAGATACTAACTATTTTTAATTCTCTCATGGGTTGATTGGCAAGTGCTTGTGTATTATTTTGCACATTGTTATTCAAGATATTTAAAATATTATTTTGTTGTGGAATTGCAGCAATTAATTATTGAAGTACTGCTGTTAAGTTTTGGAAGTCAGCTTGTTGTATCATGTTGTCTTGAAATAGTAAGTTTAAATCTATCAGTTTCTTGTAATACTTTTATAATAGCAATCTTTAAGTATTTTCTTTCACCAGAGTTGAGTTGAGTATTGTATGAGATTGAATCAAGTAGATCTGTAATTACTCTTCTTTGTTGTTCTTTAGTAGTTATAATTATTTGATCAAATATTATTTGTAATTGTTAGTTATATGCTATTGTTTCACAATCAGATATCCAAGTCCAAAAGTTAATAAACTTATAATTTTCTCTTTTATCAATATTAAAAGATGGATGGCAAAATATAACAATAAGATGATAATAGATAACATGTTGAATTTAAGTTATCTTCTAATAAGTGTGCATTAACAATTATTCTAAAGAAAATGTAGACGTAATTCATAAAAAAAAGAGTATTATTTGAATTCTGATAAAAGATACCAACTGTTATTCTAGTTCTTTTAACAGTATTTGTATGGAGAAAGATCTTTAAATGAATTTCTTCTTACAGTTATAAGATGAATTAATGGATCAAGTTAAATTTATTATTAAGAAGATTATATATTATAATTATGATAAGTTCAAGATAGTTTATTGATAAAACTTCTTTATTATTATACTTTTCATTATTGCTATTTCTGTTAGTGCTTTGCATATAGATTATACAAGTATATAATACAAGAATGATAATATTACTAAACTATTCCAAGTTTATAATTAAAATCAAAGAGTACAATCAAATCTCTCTATATTTATATCTGTTTATAGTTATATTTCTCTATAATTACTTTAATTTGCTTTCTCATTTATATATAAATATAGTAAAAAAATCTCTCTATAGTCACATTCTCTCAATAGTCATCAAATTTTGCTTTTTTGAGAATAGTAACTATAGAAAAGTTTGATTATAATTATAAGATATTTAATAAGTGAACTTTTTGTTGATTTCTAATTAAAACTTCTTATTAAATTTATTAATTTGTTATTAAGTAAAGTGATACTTATATATAAAATTGATTATTACAAAAATTCTTAAATATCTATAATACTAAACTAATAAAGATTTTATAGTTCAACAGATTAATGATTTAAAATATCAACAATTTGATATCTCTAAAAATTAATAATTAATAGTTAAGATATTGAAAGTTCAATATATCTGTCATATTGATATATAATATATAAACAAATAATAAGCAAAATAAGTAATCAATAAAAATATATATAAATATAGTTTAATAATAATATAGATAAATTATAATTAATAAAAATAAACTAATTAATTGTTCAATAAAAATATGATAAATAAAATATACTATAATAATATCAAAAAAATAATGATATATATTAAATATAATTGTATAATAAAATATAATATAAAAATAAAAAGACATTAATTTAATTATTATTAAGTTGCATGATATTACATTAATTTTTTTTGTAATACATCTTAATTTTTATTAATCAAAAATTAAGTAATTACAAAATTTTTGATAAAATGATAATAGTATTATTATTATTTTATAGATTTTAAGTTTTTAATATATTAATCATGTGTTTTATTAACTAAAAGATGAAAAAAGCTAAGTTTTATAGTGAGAAAAACTAAAAATTATTATTAAAGATAGATAACATATATTCATATTGTGATGAGCTAGAATAATATTCAATAACTTTATTAAGTTTATGTATTTATTTAAAAATTCAAAAGTTATAATATAATTGATAAGTTTATTAAGTGACTGTTTTTCAAGTTAATAACAATAATTTATTATAAGTGATCTATCTTTCAAGATCAAAAACCAATACAAATATAATTTTATAAGTTATCTGAAGTTTCTATTAAACAAGAGACTTCTTAAATTATTAACTATTTTTTCTATAACTATTTTTTTTAAGCTAAGATATATGATATATTTATATTGTTACCATTTCCATTGATTTATTAACTTTCAAATATAAATCACGTGTTCTTCACGTATCTCAATTAAGTGGGAGAGTTATTAAAGATTTTTATGTATTTAAAGTAATTAAAGTTGGGAGAGACTAATTTAATAA